ACTGAGATTCATAAACTGATTTAGCTTTATATTTATCCCCTAGTCTAGCAGTTGCTCTATTAGATACATGTGAACATGTTTCCAGCTGGTTTTCCTTAGAAAACCAGGATGAGAAAACAGATTTTATGATGTCCTGCTGCAGTATCTCTGACACCCATATTCCTATGAAGGGATTTGTGGCATTTGCTGTTATGAGCGTACAGATAATACAATCTAACAGCCAGCTGCTGCACAAAAGGACATCTCTACTCCCCCTTGCATGCTATGTATTCCCATTGCACCATCTTCTGTTAGCACCAACACTTGGCTGATGTCTCAGGAGACAGTTCAAGAATCAAAATCAGCAGAAAATTAGCCCTGCAAAATGCTGGGAAGCTTTCCTTCCACTCAGTCCCCTGAATCAGGCTACTGCAGGGGCAGACCTGCACCAGTAGCAGAACAGAGATGGGAGGAGAAGAGGAACTAGTCCAGGCTGTAAAGCACAGCCATCCACCTTGGTGACAGCTAGTCACTAGGTCAGATGAGCTGTACTATCAAACCATAGTACTTTATCCTCCTCCTCAGCCAGGCACAGCTTCTTCTGCACTACAGCTTGAACAGATGCTGCTGCATCCTTGGGAGAAGCAGAGGGTGCCAGCCCTATGCTAGTCCCTGCCTCACTGAAGATTTCACACTGAGCAGAAACAGCACACCAGGTAAGAACTAGTACTCTAGCCTATCATTCTACTGTTTGCATTTCAGTATAAGGACTATTATACTGATTCTATTGTTAAAAGATTATTTTTAAGGTCACTTTCAAGCTGGCATTGTCTAAAATTTAACATTTTAACAAAACACCATGGACTGCTGCCACCACTATCTGCTTTCAGATAGCAATTACTGGTGAAGAAATGGGCATGATAACACTTCTCCCTTCTGGCTGTAGAGGTCTGAAACTACAGAGAGAGAGCCTCAGAGCTGAGAGGAAGGTTAAGCTCCTAAAGAGAACTGGGCCCATGCTGTGATGATAACTACACCAGAACCCTTCTGCAAACTGCTTTGCACCTAATGGCACCTTTTCCAATTTCCTCAAGCAGGCATCTGCCTGAAAGTTACAAAATGAATTGTTCTTCTGCTTGTGCTCTGCAAATGTCAAAGCAGTTTGCAGTGCTACCACCTTCATGTCACAGAATGACAATTAGGTACAAAGAAGTAAGGGTAAGATGAAACACTGGGGGACTGGAAATGGAAGTCTGCTCTTAACTCCTGCATCACCCACAACTCACTTCGACTTTCCTCCCTTTCAGTTTCTCCACTAGAACAGTGGCTGCTGCATCACTTCCCCTACATGCAGTAGTGCTTCACACCTCAGGCTTTATAAAATGCACCAAGATCCACAGGGAACAGCATCATGGCAAGGCTCACCATAGCTAAAGGACAGAGAAGAGAGGCAGGCAAGCACCACTGTGTGCCGTGACAGGCACACTGCAGCGTGCACTGCTAATGTGGGGGAGGGAAAGAGACAAAGTTCTCAGTGCTCCAGGTAAATCCGTACCTGAGCAGAGGCATCAGAGCGCTGTGTCTTGCCAAAGGTGGGTCACACAGGTCAGTGATACACAGTGCAGCAGAAAGCTGTGTGTTGAGCTCATGCTCCCATCACAGCAATGTGGCATTCTGGCCATATTCCTTCCATTATAAACATTACTTCTGCCAGCCAGGCCTGCGAGCCATTCTTCAGCAAAATGTCCTCTGTGCAAGTATTGAGAAATGTTGAATTCAAGAAAGGAAAACACAAATAGTGACATTTTTTCTGCATCTAACTTTTTACGCAGCAACAATCTTAACTGTAAAAGCCAACACAAGGCATTCACAGTGAATTACAAATGCCATGCATCAGCACATTTTCACAATTTTACATAAAAATAAAACTAGAGGTGGGAGGCAAATCCAAGCATAACCACATAACTAATGCTTCCTTTAAAGCACCAACTGAGACATGTCTTTAAATCTGAATCTAAGCCTTCCGAGGCCTAAAATGTTGCTGTTATTTTCCATGGTTTCCGCTGAGTCTGTTCCAGATTTAACAGCTGAAATGTTTCTCAGTACTCTGCTCCTGACAGGTATTAAGTTTCTAATCCAGAGCTGGGCATTCCAGCCTTGCAGCACTGTGTTTGCAAGAGACAAGTGACGCAGATGCTAAAAGCAGCAAAAAGGCATCAGGTTCACTTTCATCAGCCTGATAATGGGGTTATCCATAATAATGCAACTAAAATATTTTACCAGCTGCAGAAATTCAGAATCAGGCACAGCACTATACTTAGTGGCCATTATTAGCCACAAAAGCTGAGGAACACAAACTACCTGCTTAGTTGCATGGTATTATCAGTGCTGAGCCTGCAAGTCACAGCACAGTGCAGCGTGGAGGTACATTGGCTTCCTGGGCAATAATGGAGCACAAACAAGGGAATGCAGCGCTTCAGCAAAAGGAATGTCAAACACTCTTCCACACCCAACTGTCCCCTGTCACACCTTCCACGAAACCTTCTATCAGCTGAAGGGGAGAGTAAGAGGGGAGCACCAAGGAGGCACAGAAAATGACACTTAGCTACCAAATATGCTCCCTACTTCAGTAATTATTTCTGTCACAAATAGAAAGTGTAGTTGATCACGGGCATTCTTGGTGTTACCAGACAAACTGTTACACTTGCAGCTTTTAGTTCTCAAGGCCTGCTCTGTGCAGGCTCAAACCCTAGAAGAACACAGGTAGTAGAGAAATACAGGGAAGACATAGGATGGCACATAAAAATATGACTGTAACACATCTCCCAAAGGCAAAACACTTGGCTACAGTGACTCAGTTATTCGCAGCTACTTGATGCTTCATGAAGACATCACGTATTTAACCTCTTTCTGCAGTATGACAATGGCACCTCCCCTGTTTTTCTCAAACAATCTGAGAAACATGGATGAAAACCACTAAATAACAGTACTTTCATGGACAGAAACTGAGACTGTCACTCTCCAAAGTTTGGAAAAACTTTTCATTTCTATGTTAATATATACACATATATGTAATGATTTCAAAAGAAAATATCACAAAGCACAAAATTGTATCAAATAACTCAAGAGTATAAACGTGTAATTTTATATAATTATAATACAAACCAATACATATTTGATAGGTAATTCTCATTTGGGCTTACACTTTACCAGCAGGAACTTCTATCTCCTTTTGATGGCTGACCAACAAAGTAAGTAATCAGAAACAGTGTTTCATGGCATTATTTATGACTCATGACAGTCTGAGGCTGTTTTTCCAAATGTCCTGCCCCAAAACTTCTGACAACGCGTTTTGAAGCTACAGTGAACTTTTTAAATACCCATGTTTTTTTCCAGAGTTAAAGGTCACTACAGTACCCAAAGGGAGAGGTGACAATCTGCAGACATCCACTGTGAAGTCAGTTTTCCAGTAGATATTCCCTAGGCTTCAGTGTGAGTCAGGAAAGCAGTTAGGAAGCTGACGCCAAGACATCCGGACATCCTAGACAGAGTGGTGTTTCAAGGCTTACTCACTTAACCACACCATCTCCAAGATGAAAGCTAAATTACTTCCTTGAATCCTTTACAATGGCAGTGTAAGCTCACGGCCCTTGCTGGGGTGCAGGAAGCAGCGCCTTTGTCACTGCAGTCCAGGCTGGGAGTGAACATCACCTCACGTCATGGGTGGGAGCTGGGCAGGCCGAGCAGCGCCCAGAGCCGGCAGGACTGGCTGAGGGCTGGGGCCGCTCCAGCAGCTCTCTCAGTCTCCTCAGAAGTGACTCCTGCCACACTCTGAGTCCAAGGTGAATGTCCCTCTTTCATGGCACAGCCCGATGCAGGAAGCAGCCAAGGGTTTCCCCAGGAGCTGCAGCTGATCTCAATCACAGAATGGTTAGGGTTGGAAGGGACCTCTGGAGATAACGTAGTCCAATCCCCCCGCCAAGACAGGGTCACCTCGAGCAGGTGACACGGGACGCGTCCAGGTGGGTTTGGAATGTCTCCAGAGAGGGAGACTCCACGACCTCCCGGGACAGCCTGTTCTGGTGCTCTGCCATCCCCAAGGTAAAGAAGTTCTTCCTCACGTTGAGGTGCAACTTCTTATGTTTTAGTTTATTGTCACTATTCCTTGTCCTGTCTCTGAGCACCACTGAACAGTGGGGCACCACCGCCTTGGCACCTGCCTCTGCGATATTTATATGCATTGATGAGACCCCCTCTCAGTCTTCTCTTCTCCAGACTAAACAAGCCCACCTCCTGCAGCCTCTCCTCATAAGAGAGATGCTCCGCTCCCTTAATAATCTTTGTGTCCCTTCGATGGACCCTCTCCAGTAGCTCCTTGTCCAGAACTGGGCACACTATTCCAGATGTGGCCTCACTAGGGCTGAGTAGAGGGTCCCTCGACCTGCTGGCCACGCTCTTTCCGATGCGCCCCAGGATACGACTGGGCCCTCCTGGCAAGCACGGGGGGGTGTCACACTGCAGTTTCGTGGACAACCTGTCACACCCACATGGAGCCGATCCCTGCCCAGACGGGGAGGGGCGGTAGCGCGAGGTGTCCGCGCGAGCGAGCCGGGCCCTTGGCGCGCACGCGCCGCCCCGCCCAACTCGGCCAATCCGCGGGCCGCGCCGGCCACCCGCCTCCGCGCCCGCCGCGCGCGGGCCTCACGCGCCGCAACGTCAGCGCCTTTCGCCCCGTTTCGGAGAACGCCCCCGAGGGGCCGGCGGCGCTCCATTGGCCGGCGCGCGGCAGCGCATGCGGCCGACGCAGGGGCCGCGGCTCCGCCCCGCCTCCCTCAGCCCCTCTGCTCCCCCCGGGCGCGTCAGGCGTGGGCGCGCGACCCCGCCGGGCGGGCCGGGCAGGAAGCCATCCGAGCCTGCCGCAGCCGCCGCCGGGCGGGCGCGCTCGCCAGCAGCGGGAGCGCAGCTCGCCTGTCCCCGCCCGGCCGCCGCCGCCTCTCCTGCCCCCAGACGCGGCTCCGCCAATGGCCGAGACCGAGGAGCGGAGCCTCTGGACGAATTCTTCGCCAAGCGGACAAAGAAGAAGCGGAAGGAGAAAAGAGCAGCCGCAGCGCCGCGCCGCCCGCCTCCAGCAGCTTTCCAATCTGCCGCCTCCCAAACGCCGCGGGCGCGGCCGCGGGGACCCCCCGCCCTGCTGAGGGCGGCGGCTCTGGGCCAGCGCCGCCTTCCAGCGCCGCCCGGCCGGCTCCTCGGACCAAGGCGGCGAGCAAGGTGCGGGCGGGAGGCCCGCGGATGTTCCTGCCGGCAGGGGGCGCGCCGCCCGCCCGGCCATGCGGCACCCGGGCCGTGCGGGGCCTGGCGGGGAGCCCCGAGCCACAGCCCCGAAGCCCCAGCCCCGAGCCCCAGCCCAGCCCCGCCCCGGGGCCGTCCGGGACGGCTTTTGCTGCTCCTGCGGCTGGTGGGAGGGTCGCGGGAAGCCCTCGCCGCGAGTCTTGGCCTGGTGGGAGGCGGGAGAGCGGGGCCCCTTCCCGCCCTGCGGTCCCTCCCGGGTTTCCGGGTGTTGCGGCCGGAACCGGGAGTTTGCGGCAGTTGCCAGCCCTGGGCCACCTGGGGCTGTGCAGCGTGGCCTGTGGACCTTGGCGATAAGATTTCCCCGGAGTCCGCTCTGTGCCTCGCTGCCAGGAAGGGTTTTACTGCCAGTAATTTTTTTTTTTTCCTACCGTATTACAGTGCAGCGATGAGAATGCAGGATAAGCTTAAGTGCCCGTAGTTGAGTTAGTGCCTCTGTTTCTTCCTCCGCCCTTCTCTCCCCTGGCCCCAGCATCAGCACCGAACTAATGTAACTGAAACCAGAAGCAGTTATAGGATCTCTAATGCTGTATATTTCAAAATGAATTTTAAGAAATACTCTGCTATTTCGTAGTGATGTTTAAACTGGGGTGCCTGACATATGCCGTAGCTTTCTAATGTATCTTTCTGCTTTAGACAGGACAAATAGAACCTAAGAAATTACTTGAACCTTTTATTTCTGCTTTGGAATTTTTTGCCTCTTGATGTTGTTTTCCTTTAACAAGTAGTAATCTAAGGATCTCTTCTCTGTTTTGCTGCTGCAAACCAAATCTTCATCTGTCCCTGTGATATTATTGTACACTCTCTGAATATAAAAAGATAGCTTGTGAAAGGGTTTTTGGAAGTCAGATACCTTGCTTCCTTCATTGTTACGTAGGGGATCAATGATTTAAGGATATTTTCTTGTGCCAGATTGAATACTGAAACCAGAAGCAGTTACAAGAGGTCTAATGCTGCATGTTTCAAAACAAATTTTAAGAAATACTCTACTGTTTCCTGATAATTTAACTGAGAACTCGACAAGTGCAGTAGCTTTCAGCTGCTGTTTTACTCACTTGCTGGTAAAATAGTATGTGGCTTTGACTGAAGCTTGTACTTGGATTAGAAATAAAAATCACTGAATGTGAAAGGTATGTTAGCTTGGAAACTGTGATGTTTCCATGGAGATGGGGATATAAGAAGTCTAAAAGGTTTTAGAGCTGTAGATTCATGCTCTTCCAAAAGACTGAATCTTCAGCAGATGGTGCAGTTACATGGGGTCACTTCCTACTTCTGTTACTCTAAAGCAGGTCAGAGTTTTTCTGCTGGAGATTGACAATGTAGAAGGTCCTAGCACAGAGCTCTAGAAGAAGCTTTATTCCCAGCTGTTCAGTGGAAAGGGAACTGTACCTTTGTCAGACCTTGTTCTCAAGGTCTTCCTATTTAAAGTAGTATAACTGCATTTCATGTAGTGTGTAAGAATTATGTAAACTATTAATTAGGCTGTGTGTGTCTTAAAGCTGTGACTGGGAACATTGTGAGGACTGCTTATCTGTTCTGGTCCATTTCTGGCCTACCTTAATAATCCCAGAATCTGCTAATGACACAGTAGGACAAAATTAACTCCACTTAGGTGAGTCCCTCTTTCCCCAAACACGTAATCAAACTCCTGTTTTAAAACTCTGTAGTGAAGCTCTTGAAAGATACATGTTTTTGCGTACTAAGATTGCTGTGGTTTTGAAGCTGACCTTTTGGCTGTTATAAAAACGTTTCTAAGAAAACAAGACTGTAAACATGGCTGTGAATGTGAAAAAACCAAATGTATCAATATTAATCTCTGTCATAAATCCACAGGAAGCCATTCCAGATGTTCTTTAATGTTTTGCTCATGAAATAGATGATGGAAAAGTAAATCTAAAGCTTCGTGTGCCTTCAAGCTGTCACAAAAGCTTACTGTTAGTAACAGAGAGAGGGCTTGCCTTGTATTTCCCTGGTCATGACTGCACAGTCCTGTTCCATGCTTTGTGTTGTCCCTTGACTTCCTCATGGATGTTTACTGAGATGATGTGGTTTTCTTTCACTCGAATGACTTCTTTGCTGGGGCATTTCTTAGCTGTTGCAGTGAGTTAAAGTCAGCTCACAGGTGTGTCCCTGGTGACAGTACGTTAGGGGAGGAGGGCATACAATCCTTTACCCTCTTGCCACTGGTGGTCACAGTTTGGTTTCTCTTAGAACTGCACCTTTACCCTCAGTTTTCTTTGCATTATCTTAGTTACATTCTCCTTTTCTACTTTTGTTGTAAAGAAAGTTACAACTTAATTTTTCTCTTCTTACAGGAAGAGGATGATTGGAAGGAGTTTGAGCAAAAGGAAGAAATTGATTATAGTGGTCTTAGAGTTCAATCCATGCAAATAAGGTACTACTTTTTCCTTATTTTTTTTCTCCAGTATAATCATTCCGTATGTTTAAAAAGAATGGATTTTTTTCTTCAGAGCTGCTTCCATGGAGTCCAGTTAAAGGAAGTTTGGTACATTTCTGATAGTATAGAATTTTGCTCCTGGGTAACTTAGGTTTGACTGGTCTCTGCCAGTATATTCTTTATTTTCTAAATTTCCATTCGTACTCTAGGTCTGTCTGTTTTAGTTGGGACTCAGATTTTTATTACAAATGCTTAACATTCCCCTCCATAAAGATAGTAAAGAATTTCTCAGAGGAGTGCAGGGTAGTAATTCCCACTGAATCATTTGGCTGCTGTAACAGTATCTGACTCAATCTGTTTAGGATCTTCAGTTTGGGAGCAAATTCCTGAACCATTGCGTCTTTATAGTTGCTAAAGCTAGTGTCCCATGATAAGATCCCACAGGACTGCATTTCTGAGTCTCATCCATGATTTCTTGTTTGCTTTTTCATTAGACTTTTCCTGTTGTCTGGTCCAAAGTAGGTCTACTTAAGTCCGTCCTGGTTAAGAAAAACTTTTCATTGGGTCAGAAAATGGGTTTTTATGACCTCAGTCGTAGCCTGAGAATGCCAGATAATGCTGGCAATTAGGTACCATGTTCAGATATTGATGATGATCAAAATAATGTTGTCCTAAAATCATCATAACCAATGCAGTAGATGTTTTCTCCACTGTGTGAGCAGGTCTGACATACTCTTTGAATTATTTACTTTTTTGGATCACATAATTCCCCCTACCCCTTTCAGTTAACTAGTCCTTTTAGGCCATTTGCATGAATTTGGCCCACAAGCTGTCCATGCCATTGAAGTGTCACGGTGGATATTCACATCTGAATAGACAAGTAACCGGTGGGCTGCAGCTTCACTGACTGCTGGTGTTGTTGGACTGGAAAGCCAGTACCTTGATTTTCCAGACAAAGGCTGGCATTCGGAATGCTTTTGATGCTGTGGCAGATTTTCAGGCACATGGAAGTTTCTGCCACAGGACTTTGTAACCACTCGTAGATTGAAGGGAAGAGTGGAGAAGTAAATGAAAGAAAAAACCACTAGAGGTTATAAATTATCCATCTCTGGAGATCTCTTTGCTGAAAATAAGATATAGAGTATCTGACGGGGTGGGATGTTACTTGTACTGGCTCTGTTGTAGTTAGTCTGTAGGCATCTGCTTCTGACTCTCGTTTAAAATGCAGTAGTGATGGTTTAGGCCCTTGGATCACCTTACTATGATTGTTACTGTGTTTGGATGAACAGTAAAAGGCCACTTATTTTTCAGAAATTACAGGCATATTTTGCTGTTCTCTGATTGTTGTTTACACAGAAAATTTACACAGATCATGATTAGTAGGATTTGGTGTATTACAAACTTCTGAGTTGACACTTTGCTGCTGTTGAGATCAGTGTCTGGATTTTTTTTCAACAGCCTCACCCTCCACATCTGTCACATTCTACTACACAGCTTTCTGTAGTAGCTTTGATCAGGAAATTATTTTGGGTCTCTTGACTATTTCTGTGCAAAATATAATAGTCTAAATAAAATACAGTCAAGCTTTTGCATAGGATTTATCTTTAAAAAATGACATATTTTACTCTCTTGTGGGTTTTTTTGATTGCCTGCTTTCAGAAAAAAAAAATCTGAGTTTGATTGTAGAATATGTGTGTATGGGTAATATGAGTGTGTTTCTCACGTGGTTGTGCCTATAGGGAATGTGAGCTCAGGACTTGCTTTTTTTCACCAATGCTCCACTGTTTCTTCGTCTTGACTAAAGAATTTTATGGAAGCTGGACTTTGAGACCTTTCCTGCTTTGTCTTCTCAACCTTTTCAAATCTCTTAGTAAGAAAAAAGCCTTTAAGCTCAAAATAAGATACCAGTTTCTTAGATCACTTAGTTCAAGTGGAATTTGTCTTTTTTTGTAAGTTTTGCTTCTCAAGTACTTTTTTTTTCTTCTCAGTTGCCAAGTTTGTAGCAGTGTGCCAAAAATTGTTCAGATGGAATTACTAGTTCAGTGATTATGGGACTAATGTAGTCTGGTTTAAGCTAGTCCCTTCAGTACAGCAACCATGGAGTCTTGTTTATGGGGATTCTGTAATCTCTGGCAAGTCTTAAACCTCTGCTTGTAAGGTACTAATCATCATTTCTTTTTTTATAGTGAAAAGGAAGATGACGAAAGTGAAAAAAGAGAAGAACCTGGTGACAATTGGGAAGAGACTGGTGGTGGTGGTGTAGATAGATCATCTGGTCCTTGGAACAAGTCAGCTCCTGCACCAGCACCTGTCATTGAACCAATTGGTAAATTTAACTCAGAGTTGTTTTTTCCAATTGGAAGTGCATCAGGTTGAATTAAGCTGCTCCCTGGGTAAAGCTCAAGGAACAGTTTTGTTCAGGCACCCATTAACATACTAGTGGCTTGTTTGGCATGCTAGTAAACGAGGAAATTTTCCTGTGAGGGCATCTGAGGAACTGAATTGAATTTAAAGTGTCTGCCCGCTTCTTTAAAACACAAGGGGAAGTATTTTTTATTTCTGACTTCCAAGGGGGCGGGGGGAAGCATTCTGTCTTTTCAGGAGATCCATCTACTATTCAATCTGCAGAATATCTGTGGGAAGCATTTCTGTTGATCTAAAAATACTGCTTTAACACTTCTGTGGATGTTCAGCCAATATCTGATGTCTAACATGGCAGTTCTTGAATAGGCTTCCATGGTTAGTAGCATGCTTTTCAAATTAGTTCTAGGATATGGAGAACATGACATTGCAAAATTGATTCTTTAACTAGAGTAGGACTTTAGTTTTTTTATTAAATACAATTTATTAGCATCAGTGGACGTAAACTACCAAGTCATGATCTGAGTTCAGAATATTCTCTTTTGCTGAGAAATTACTGAAAAATAGTCTGCTTTGTTCTTCCTTGTTTGTACAGGCAAGGAGGTAAAGCTAATTAGTCATGTTTTGATTTGACCACTGAGTATAGATCAAATTAGGTGATAGCTGATTTCCTACTTTGTCTAAAATATTTGCTTCCAAAGCTCTAAAAGGTGCAAAAAAGTACTTAAAAGATTTGTGGAGTTTGGTTTGTGTGTTGGTTGTTTTGTTTGTTTGTTGTTTTTTTCTTCAGCTATGAATGTAAACCTTTTCGCTTGTGTAACTCTAGTCCTTGTACCTAGTTACAGAAGCTCCAGAACCAGTTCAGACTGGTGGTGTATACAGGCCGCCCGGTGCCCGGGAGGGTGGCAGGCCACGGAGAGCACAGCAAGGACCACCAGAAATCTATAGTGATACGCAGTTCCCATCACTGCAGTCCACTGCCAAGCTCGTAGACAGTCGAAAGTAAGTACATTCCATTAATGCCCCAAGAGACATGAGTTAACTGCTTTCTCTAAGTTCTTATTTTGTGTAGGGCTTAAGCCTGAATCTTTCCACAGAGAAAGAAATTACTAAGAGGTGTTAACTATATTTTCTGACTCTATTCCCGTTAAATAATTTTCATAGGACCTAGCCCAGTAAGACAGCCAAACAAGACTGCCAGTTATGTTATCTTTGATGGCTGAAGGATTTCCCTGAAGCAAAATATTTATGCACTTGACAGCATCTGGTTCCCTGAGACACTAGCCATGGGGAGGGAAGCTCTCTGTTACTACCTTCAACAGGCATGTAGGAAGTCTTGAGCATACTGCCTTCACTTTAGAGTTGTGAAGGTAGCTGAAGTGGAAGAATGGGGTTTGATACAAGTACAAATCCATACACTTGCTGTCTGAGCTGTGGTTAACAGTGATGGGCTCCCCGTTTTACAGAAGTGTTTTGTATTTATGTGGTGCTGAAGACTTGAGTCTCACCCTGCTTTTGAATCCTGATCTCACCATAAGCTCATTATCAATAGAAGAGATAGCTAGGCCAATACTTAATTCACTTGGGATTTTTTGGGGGTTTTTTGTTGATGATTTTTTTTTCCATTTTGTTATTGTTGTAGTTTGATGGGGTTTTTTTCTCTCCTTGCTTGCTATGTTACTGTTTAATACAGCTTGGCAGAAGCTCTGGGGTTTTTTTTTTTGGTGTGGCTTTGTGTGCTTGGCAAATGAAACGTGCTGTCATTGGTGCTTTGGGGTTTGAATGGTACAAATTGAGTCAAGGTGAAATTCTGAATGAACATTCTGGAAATTGGCTTCTGCTTTCTAGAACCTATTTTTCATAATTGCACTTAAATTTACTTTTGAGAATGTCAATATTGACATTTATAATCTGAATCGTACTGGGTGGTACAATGGATAGATATTTATGTATTTTGGAGATAAGATTTGCTTGGGAATGTTTGGCTATTCTGTTGAACTTAAGACCTTTGTGTTTGTTTTATGTTTATAATGTTTTTGTTGGGATGGGGTGGAAATAGTCTAGAAATTCACAATTCACAAGCTAGTGATAAGATATTTACTGATTACATTTATTTTCCCTTAGGGATAAAGAAATGGAGAAGAGCTTTGAAGTAGTAAAATACAAAACTAGAGGTAGGGATGAGGTGTCAAAAAACCAGGCACCTAAACTTCAGCTAGACAACCAGTATGCTGTGCTTGGGGATCAGTAGAGCTGCACACACATTACAATTAAGGAATGCATTTTTGGTAACCCTTCTACTAAGGTAACTAAACTACAGCTAACAGCTATGATGAACATGCCACCTTATTTCTGCTGGATCTACTGCAGCGAGTGCAGACTACTTTGACGTAAGTGATTGGTTCTCCTGCACTATGGAAGCATAATGTATTGCAACTTCTCCATTGGAAATGGGGCAAATTAATGTAAATGATTGAACGAGTCATCAGTGTTCTTTAATTGCTCAGAAAGATACCTACAGCCAGTGGTCATTTCAAAATCTTTTTATGTTCAGATACTGAGCCTTCGTAAAGGTTGACTACCTCAGACTTGCTGCACTCATTGTGGACACCATGTGGATCACAACTTCTGGAAGAGAAGGTTACAGCTGTTTTAGTGGCCATCTGAAACTTGAAACCAGCTCTACTGGATTCCTGTCAGAAATCCTGCAGAAGTCAGCCATTTGGTTCCAATTTGCTATAACAAAGATTTAAGTGACCTTAATGACAAACCTGTTTGTTCCCCTTCTGAGGAATCCTGTCATGTGTAGCCATAGCCTACTAGAGACTTCTGGAGCATACCATACCACTCATACTATCCACGTATAACAGAGCTGTAGTTTGTTTACCTTTTTAGACAGCTGTACAGAAGTAACTGCAAAACAAATTAAAACTCATTCAGTATCAGATTTGAGGAATGATGGGTTTGAATGGTCTGTTTGCATTAGCCATTTTCACAGTTGTCTGTTTAAGCATTTTTTTTTTTCTATTATCCACAAAAAAAAAAGCCTGCTCTGTTTCTGGTATCAATTTGCAGTATATTTAAACAATGATAAGATGTTGTAGTGAAATAGGGTTTATTTTGGTTTTTGTCATGAAGTTTATCTTTCTCACCTTAAAGCATTGAGAGTTTTTGATTTGACACAGAAGTATCTGGACTCCAACTACAGGCTTCAGAATTTGTCCTTTAAAATGAGATACATGGCAGTAGCGATGCTACATAAAAACTGTCTTCTATCAAAAATAATTATTTGTTGAAGAGTTGATGATTACTTGGTAACCAAAATAATTTAGTACGCAGAGGGATAACTAAAGCTGGTAAGCCTGATTTGTTTGGCTACTTCTGTGAAGCATGCAGGTTCTCTGAGGCAGAAATCCTCTAAGTATGATTCATAAATGGTGTTTATTCACAGTCAGAAAGTTTAGTAATAATGGAAGGCATTGACTTCCTTAAGTTACTTAATTCAGTGGAAGAAGGCAAAATGGCACTGATACACTAAGAATATAGGACGTTGCCTGTAATTCTGTTTTGATGAACCAAACCTGTCAAGTACCAAAAGTGTTCTGCTGTAACTGTTTTTCTCTTCTCTGAATTCTTAAACCAGAAGCAAAATGAAGTACAATAGTGGTGTGCTCCAGTGTTGAGATTTTTCAGAGTAAATGCCAAAAAATAGACTCAAGACCCCAGGAGTTGCCAATGGCAAGAAAAACAAGGGAACAAAACAAAGTTTGCTTACGTGTGTGGGAGTACTGTGTATGTGCAGAAAATGAGGATAGTGCAGGAATCACCTAGTTGGGTTCCCTTTGACTAACTGCTGACTTGCTTTAAAACTACTTTTCTGAGGCCATTGTGGATTTTGCTGTTGACTTCAGTGGGGCTGGGGTTTCACCTGTTCTTTTTGTGCACGGACTAAAACTGGCCTTGCCCTTGCAGAGTTCACTGTCTCTAAAACTTCTGCTAGAAGCTGCTATTAAAGAGTGGGCTCAAGAGACTATTCTTAAAGTTGGAGACTTCATTTGGAAACAAAACCCCGCTGAAAGACTGATACCTTGGACTCTGAGCTGCGTATCTTCCTTGAAAAACCATTGTTGCCAGCCAAACTGTTGTCACAATTTCTGTGGAATTCATGGTAAATGGACACATCTCTTGATGGGGTAGAAATGTGAAGTCTTAAAACACTTTTCCTGATGATCTAAAGAGAGTGAGGTCACCAGTGTATCTGAATTGAGTTTGAGTTTCCTGTGTAGGGTAGATGAGACTATCCATTGTACCACCTTGTGGTGGTTTAATACCTCCCAGCTGTGAGTGGTATTGAATAGCAACATAGCCGTGCCCGCATGGCTCTAAGCTCTGCCCTATCTCTGCAACCAGGACATTATGCACCCCTTATTCTAAAGTATCTATGTCATGCCCAAATCTTAGACCCTCCAAGTGTGTATATGTGTGCATGTGTGTGTGTGTGTGTATATATACATATATATATATACACATAACTATACACAAGCACAGGTATCATTTCATTAGTAAATGGCTGTCCCCCAAGACATCTGTTGAATTCATTTAGTCCATGTCTGTGGGCTCTGTCCATCCTGGATGTCTTCCACAGCAGGAGAGCTGGTGTGCTGTCAGTGGGTTGCAAGCTGCATCAGGAGCTCACAACTGGTGTAACTGGAGCAGTGCACACTCATGGTAGTTATGACACATGGTGGCAGTGTCATTCAGCAACCAATATTACATACACAGTTCAACATTACAGACTGTTCTCATCCAAAAATCAAATCCCATTGAGGTGCACCTAGTGTTTCCCTGTTCCTCTGTTACCCACTAAGCGCATCCAGGCTCTTGGGCAAAAACAGTCCTGCAGATGGGTTTGCCTTTGCTTGAGGCAGGACTAGTCCAAACTGTCTTCCCTAACTTCTCATGTGCACCATGGGGACTTTATCTCCTTCTGTGGTAGGTAAGGGTTCTGATTGGGCGGAGTCAGCTTGATTGGCAGAGTTAACTAACCAGATGGCCTTTGCTAAGTATAAATCCTGATGTTTGAAGTTCTCACCACCCATTGCTTTCAAACAGTCCATTGTACATTCAGTTTTCCCAGAAGCTGGTGCATGATAGGGAATATGATACATCCACTCAGTTCTGTGCTCTCTAGCCCAGGGGTCTGTGAGGCTGGTTTTGAAATGAGTCCTGTTGTCTGACTCAGTTCACTCTGGGGTGCCGTGTTGCTACAGGACTTGCTTGCTTTTCAAGGCACAGGATGGTGTTATGAGTGGTGGCATGAGGCACCGGTATGTCTCCAGCCATCCAGTGGTTGTTTTCACCATTGGCAGCACATAGCACTTGCCTTGGTGGGTTTGCAGCAATGTGATGTAATCAATGTGCCAGGCCTCCCCATATTTATATGTTGACCATCGTCTCCCATACCACAAGGGGTTTACCTGCTTGGCCTGCTTTATTGCAGCACATGTTTCACAGTAACGAATAACCTGGGAGGTAGTTTCCATGGTTAAGTCCACCCCTCAATTATGAGCTTATCTGTATGTTGCATCTCTTCCATAATGACCCTCAGGGGCCCACCAAGCCAGAAATAATTCACCCTTATGTTGCCAGTTCAGATCTACCTGAGATACTTCAATCCTGGCAGCTCGATCCGCCTGTCTATTGTGATGCTCTTCAGTAGCCCAGCTCTTGGGTACGTGTGCATCTACATGATGTAGTTTTACGGCCAACTTCCCTACCCCAGCAGCAATGTCTTGCCACAGTTCAGCAGCCCTTGACCATACTTTGTTTTATGGTAAAACCAGCCTGCAGGAGGATTTGGATTATCTTCTCCCCTTCCTGAAAAACTTTCCCTGCTATGTTCCCCCATATGATGATGTCATTGATGTACAGCACAGCAAGTGTTCTGGAGCCTCACCCTTTTCCAGTGCAGTGTGGATCAGTCCGTGGCAAATAACGGGGCTGTATTTCCACCCTTGGGCCAGTCGGTTCCAAGTGTACTAGACACTCTTCCAGGTGAAGGCAAACTTGGCCTGCATTCTGCTGCCAAAGGAATGGAGAAGAACACATTATCAATGTCAGTGGTTACACCACTTTGCTGCTTTGGACTCCAGTTCGAACTGAAGTTCCAGCATGTCTGGCACAGCAGCACTTAGTGCTGGTGTGACTTCATTCAGGCCTTGAGAGTCCACTGTCAGTCTCCACTCTCCATTGGACTTAAGCACTGGCCAGATAGGACTATTAAAGGGTGAGTGAGTCTTGCTGACCACTCCCTGGCTCTTCACGAATCATCTTATGAATATGGATGTTCCAACCTTAGATACAGAGAGGTGAAGTGTGCCTCTGCCCATACATGTGGGAAGGAATTTAAGATCGAATATACCCAAAAGTGAGATTAAGATAAAATCGAGGTCAAATGTTGGTATCCAAAACAATAATTCAACTTTATTTAAACTATCAAAGAGGCAGAGAGAGAAAAAAGGAAAAATAAAAGTGGGAAAAGGTAAGAATAATTATTAGAAGCACAGAAAAGAGTGTTATCACCATCATGAACTAAACACTGGATCTCATCCTTGTTGATGAGGGGAGAAGATCTCCGTCAGGTCGTTCTCTGGTCTTTTGTCTCTGCAGCATGAGTGGAGTTCTCGCAGCATGTGTTGGTCCTGCAGTGCATCCTGGGTCCAGCCAGGCTGGTCGCAGTGCTGGGGCACAGCTCATGTGCATCCATGGTGTGTGTGTCCACAGCGTGTGCCAGCAGTGAGTGTGTGTGTGTGTGCGTGCCCGTGGCACGTGCCAGCTGTATGTGTGTTGCAGGGTTTCCCGCCTTAGTGCAGTGCAGCCCCGGCTCACCAGAATGCGGGGGAATCTCCGCAGTCGTACAGCCACCTTATAAGCATGGGGTCAGCGTGTCCCTGCGGCTGATGTGAGGGGCAGGGTTCCCGCCTTCAGTCTTTCCATGCAAGGTGTCAGTTCATGCAGCACTGCTGACGATGCACTCTTGTGATGCATCGGTACCTGTTGTTCTTCAGCCCTCGGCAATCCCACAGGAGAAGGGTTCTCTGAGAGGCCAGGCAAGGTATTCAGCTGTCTAATTTTCTCTGTCTTCATAGCAGCTATCCCAAAAGCCCTTTTGGGTCCTTGAAATACCCTCTCCTGAGGTAATCTATGCCAAGGATGCACAAGGCCTCTCATCACAAGGGGGTGTTTTTGCCATTTATTCCCAGTCAGGCTCACTGTAACCTCCAGTACAGCCAGATCTTGGGATCCTCCATCACTCCAGAAATATAGGTGGATTCTGTCCCTACATATCTTGATGGCATCAGGGTACATTGTGCGCTGGTGTCAACTAAAGCCTTATATTCTTGTGGGTCTGATGTGCCAGGCCATCGGGTCCACACAGTCCAATAGATTTGATTGTCCCTTTCCTCCACTGGAGGCAGGGCCACTCTAGTCCTGGTCATGGTACTCATTGTTCACTTCTTGTAAATATGACTTCAAGAGGATTGGACATAACATCATCCCTTCTATTCTTTCTGAGGTTGTTCTTCCTTTCGACTCACGTACCCATGCTGTTAGAGCAGAGGTGGATTTTCCATCCCTCTTCCTCATGTCTTCTGTGTGGTCATGCGGGTAAAACCACAGGTTACCTTGTGCATACCTTCTCTCTTGATCAGGGAGGTGCCTGCTCCAAATAACAGAGACTCTGGTGTATATTGGCAGGACATGGGACATTTCCTCTTTAAATTGCTGGAAGTCCTTGGACAGTCTTTCCATGGATGAGACACAGGCCTGTATTGGGGAGGAGTTTGGTAACCAAATTGTCCACTCTTTATTCTCCTTCCTTCCATGACATCACTGACAATGAGTTAGCATATCACGATGGCATGCTCCATAGGAACTCCTGCCACGTGATTTGGATGCACTGGATGTCATTTGGATTTATGGGGGATTGCTCATTTGAATCCTTATAGATTGCCTCCAGTACTGCTAATTGCTCTGTGGTGGTCTGCAGGTCTTGGTGCACTAAAAGGTCATACCTGCAAGATACTTTTCCCTCATGCAGAGAGCCTGCAGAGGCTGAGAGTTTCTGGTCTTTTCCCAATCCCTTGGTCAATGCCTGCGTCTCAGGAAAGGGATCCTACTTGTTTGGCTTCATTACCATTTAGTGTCACACCACTGGCCACAATATCCCAGCATTGGAGCAGCCAGGTCACCAAGGGGTCACCTGACTGCGGACTGTAATCTTTTTGCCTATCTCGCAGCTCACCCAGGGATAGGGATTGGGTGATTATCTCTGGCCCTGTCTCTTCCTCTGGTTGTGGGGGTCCTGCTTCCTCTTCATCGCTCACTACACAGACTGATTTGGTCTTGGATTTCTTCTTCTGTATAAGGGGTGACTGCCACTGGCACAGGTTTTTCCTCCGGTTCAGCTGCAGTTTGAGTGGCCACAGTGCTTCTTGGTCTGCTTTCCTCCTCTTCCTCTGAGAGTGCTATCTAGTACCAAGCAGTGCCTGGTAAATAGTAGCCTGGGCCCAGCACCTTGCATAACTTCTCACCTCTCTGAAACTGACAGAGCATTTTTCTTTCAAATATTCTGCCACTTTTTCAGGGTCCTGTCGTTATTCAGGGGTGAACTTCCAAACCACTGGAGCAGAATACTCCTTCAAAGCTGGCCCATTTTCTCCCACGTTCCATGCCACTCATGACTATCCACCCCCATGGCAGGTCCCTGGACAACATCCTAGAAATTTCTGTCCTGACTCTAAACACGGTGTAGATCACACTGACTCTAAACATGTTGTAGACGTATTAAGGAGACATAGCAGACACAGCAACAAGAACATGCTTTCTTTAATATCCAATTCAAATGAGAATTCAAAATTCTCAAAAGCTGTTGTAGTAGGCCTGAAGGAGGAAAAGGGGGTAAAAGGCTGGGGAAAATCATCCTCCCCTGTTCCCCCCATAGGCTGGGTGCAATTAATGAATCCCCAGAGGTAGCAGCCAAAACCAGGACAGGTGAACAACACTTTTACCCCCACATGACCCCCATTGCCCTTGATGTTATAATGCCATAGACTGATACCACACAGGACATCAACAAAGCAATCCTGATCCCTCTCTGCTTTGAAAAAGAACATTGTAAGGAACACACAGTTCATACCCTGAGGTAAATGCAGGGTTAGGTACCACGTCCACAT